GTCTAGATTAAAAATAGATCCTGAGCAATATTTAAATAGAGCAGTTAGGAGAAATATTCTAATGTATTTTATTGTTTATACAATTTCGTGTGTGTTTGTTGGCGCCGTTCGCGACGATGTCTGTTTGATGAATCGATATCTTTGATTTTGATAAGCACCTTTCGAATAATCATGGGTGGTTTTTTTTATTAATAAACTAACTGACCCGGCAGACTTTGTAGTGCCTCAATCGATAAATAAAAGACCTAAACTTTTGTATAAAATAAACTTAAAACAAACAAAAGGAATCCGTCCGACAGGGACACATCAAGGGAAAAACAAAATTGTTTGTTTTTTTTTTAAATTCCGAACATTTTCATATTTATCTGCCTTTTAGACTTCTCTGAACTTTCGCGAATAATTCAAGACCAAAATTTGCCAAATCGGTCCAGCCGTTCTCGAGTTTTAGCGAGACTAACAAACGGCAATTCATTTTTATATATATAGATTTGTGGGTATATGTATATTCGTATATGTGGGTAATAAATAGGTCTTGACGTCACAGAATGTTATGTTTTATTATGTTATGATAACGTAGAGATTAAGCCAGATAATATCGTAGATTTTTTTTTAAGAAGTGATTCTTACATTTAGAAGTCGTCGTGGCCTAAAAGATAAGACGCCCGGCGCGGCGCATTCGTATCGATCAATGCGAGTATAACTGTGTTCGAATCCCACAGGCGGGTACCAATTTTTCTAATGAAAGACGTACATAACAAATGTTCACGAATTATTTCCATGATGAATAAAAGTCAATGCCGCGAAAAATTTTAATTTGTTTAATTAGTGATGGTTTTGTGAGCCCGCTACAGTTGGTACCACCACCCTGAATATGATAGAAGCAAAAATGCGTGTCGGTTTGAAGAGTGAGGCTGTGATACTGTCACAAGATGAGTAGACTTTACTTTGTTGTCTATGGGGTTGTTTTTTTTTATTGCTCTTGTAGGCAGACGAGCATACGGCCCACCTGATAATGAGTGGTTACCGTCGGCCGTGGACTTCAGCAATGCCAGGGGCAGAGCCACGCCGCATTCCGACGCTCCGCACTATACGCATTAATAGAGAGTCGATCTATCGACGGTTCGCGCTCTAAGGGTTGATTGGTGTTAGCATAGTTGTATTTCTATGAACGCCATGAATTTCTGTAATTAAAGTAATCAAAGGCAAAGAACCTTTGATTACTTTTTTTAAAAATAATTTTATAATACATATCCTTTGTTTCAAAACCTAAATTAAAATCAATATATAGATCAACAATGTGGATTATCTGTATGTATTTTTATAATTAATCTAACTCACGGGCTAAACCTCTAGAGTATTGCCTACACTGGCCCTAGCAAGAGCAGTACATTACAGAATCTACGACCGGATCGGCAACACGACCCACTGAGGAGATCCGGCGAGAAACTCAGTGGGCTGTGTCTGAGGGTTAATTTGCTCACCGAACACTTTGTCGCAAGCGCCGGGTTCGACAGAAACAGTGACCGGTGCTTGAGGTACCTAAAAGCACCGTTAGTGGATCGGTAGGATCCAAAATGACGTGTTTAGAGCGACGTCGACTGTTTACCATTCGGTCCGCAGGATCGGGAATGTAGTTTCCGGCGGGTACGACATGAGGGTTTTCGTGTCGCGCCGCTTTTTCGAAATGGCGTCCTGATGCTGACTGTAAATACTTACTGATGGAGTTCAATTCCAGAATGTCGTGAAGATTCACGTTCCTCACGAACCACGGTGCTCCGACGGCTATCCTGCTGTTTAATGACTTGAATGGGTTTTAAATTAGTGCGAGAAATTAGGATGAGGAGAGCCGAAGACCGGGCCCAGTGGTGTGGATTGAGAGAGGCCTATATCTAGCAGTGGACGGCTGTGGGCTGATGATCATGATGACGATGCGTAACTAAACAATTCACTAGCATAGGACGTACATATGCAAGTTTTGTACAGAGTCACCTTATTATTTATTATAACGGCCGTCTGGTGTAGTGGTAAGTGACATGGTCATTACACAAGGGGGTCGCGGGTTCGAATCCCGCCAAGGGAAGATATTTGTATGATAAATATGAAATGTCTTTTCCAGGGTTATGGATATATATTAAATTAGTGTATGTGTATAATAAAAATATTGTATTTATTTCGTCATTTGGTACCTGTAACACAAGTTTTTACGAACTTAGCACTGGACCAGTTAACGTGCCGTCATTGTTAGTAAATATATATTTATTTATTTATTATTACGATGGGACAATTTACTTCGCTTGTAAGTCATCGGATAGAGCGAATGCTCGTGTGCCGATTTCGACTTACTAGAGGTCCCGCAGTAATCGAAATTCGACTATAATTAATTGGAATTGTAAGTTTGTACACTCATATGATTGTATTTTATACTTCTATAATCACAAATTTCGTCAAGACTACATTATAAAAAATATTAACAAAGACAAACAATATTTAATCTATTCTCAATTTGACCAAGAGGTCAAGAACAAAAGTTTGACAATAAATAGTATGCATGCGTGTGTGCGTCAAATACATGGTATGTAGTGTGTGTAATGTTTTCTTTATTGTATTAATGTATCTTTTATGCATTATTAAAAAAAAATATTAGCATTGTGCACTTCTTCTCTATATTCTCTATAAGTATGGAAAATTTCATACTCCTACGTCCGCGCAAATTTCGTAAAAAGGGATACAAAGTTTTTGCTTCACGTATTAATATATAGATAATAAAAAGTCAAGTGTGTGTGTGTGTGTGTGCACATGTCACGTTTTAATGAATTTATACGCTCAGCTGACTTCGTCTTGCCGTCTCAACGTAGACGTAAATATAACAGCGGACCGTCCAATGACCTCGGTCAGGTAGCCACGTGCTTTTGTTACGTAAAGCCGGGCCGGGCCTATTAACGATTTTGTTCGATGTTAAAAGTTACTTCCTTAAACACACTGTTGTATTCATAATATAATATGTCGGCAAGGACGGCAAACCAAATTTAACCATTTATCATGATAATAAAATCAATGTCAAATGTATCTTAATTTGAAAATTGTATGTAATTGGAATAAAAAAAAAAACAAAAATAATTTCGTCTAAAATTGTATCAAAGTTAAAAAAATAAGCTTTATTAAAAACTAGCGACCCGCCCTCGCTTCGCTTCGGAAACATTAAAACACACATGAAACAAAAAATAAAAAATAAAAAAAATAATAAAAAAAGTAGCCTATGTTCATCAGGGACAATGTCGGCTTCTAATGGAAAAAGAATTTTTCAAATCGGTCCAGTAGTTTCGGAGCCTATTCGAAACAAACAAACAAACAAATCTTTCCTCTTTATAATATTATATAAGTATATAAGTATAAGTATAAGTATAGATATAGATTCACTAAATATCATAATATCGAGTGGTGAAAGGCTATTTGGTTTAATTGACATTTCGCTTTCGCTTAATGCGTGGCATTTATCTTTGTTTTTTTTATTGCTTAGTGGGTGAACGAGCTCACAGCCCACCTGGTGTTAAGTGGTTACTGGAACCTGTAGACATTTACGACGTAAATGCGCCACCCACCTTGAGATATAAGTTCTAAGGTCTCAGTATAAGTTACAACGGCTGCCCCATCCTTCAAACCGAAACGCATTACTGCTTCACGGCCGAAATAGTCAGAGTGGTGGTACCTACCCGCGCGGACTCATAAGAGGTCCTACCACCAGTAAAGGTTGTAATTAAAGGTTCGTTTTATTTGGTATTAAGCATCAACAGTTCGATGTTTATAATTGACTAGCGACCCGCCCTCGCTTCGCTTCGGAAACATTAAAACACACATGAAACAAAACAAAAAAAAAAAATTAAAAAAAAGTAGCCTATGTTCATCAGGGACAATGTCGGCTTGTAATGGAAAAAGAATTTTTCAAATCGGTCCAGTAGTTTCGGAGTCTATTCGAAACAAACAAACAAACAAATCTTTCCTCTTTATAATATTAGTATAGACGACACATATATTTATTTTCGAAAGTAGCTTGAATATTATATAGAAATTGGCTAGATACGCTAATGAAATGCATGTGTTAGTTTTAGTCGACAACTTTATTATTAGTATAAAAGTCACCGTTTCCAACAGACCCAATTTAATTTTAATTATTCGCATGATAATTTTCTGATGCTACCGGAAAGAGTTATCAATTTAAAATTCAAATATGTGTACAAGGAAACAGATGTGGTCTAGACGAGTATGTATTATGTTTCATGTATAAAGAGAGAGAAACAGGCAGAGAGGGAGAGATTAAGAAATATATATTTTTGATGTACGTCTCTTATTATTCGAATGATTAAATAATAGATCGTGAAATCCCGGGTCACACCTTCTGCGCGTCTCTCTCTTAAGGAATTTTGAAGTCGTCGTGGCCTAAAGGATAAGACGTCCGGTGCATTCGTGTTGAGTGATACACGGGGTGTTCGCATCTCAGGCGGGTACCTATTTTTCTAATGAAATACGTACTCAACAAATGTTCACTATTGACTTCCACGGTGAAGGAATAACATCGTCTAATAAAAATAAAACCCGCAAAATTTTTATTTGCGTAATTACTGGCGACAGGACCTTTAATGAGTCCGCGCATGTAGGTACCACCACCCTGCCTATTTCTGGCGTGAAGTAGTAATGCGTTTCGGTTTGAAGGGTGGGGCAGCCGTTGTAACTATACTTGAGACCTTAGAACTTATATCTCAAGGTGGGTGGCGCATTGTGTAACATCAGGTGGGCTGTGAGCTCGTCCACCCATCTAAGCAATAAAAAAAAAAATTGGGGGAGGATTACGACCTCCGAGGTCTTCCTCTTCTCCGTCTTGTTCACTGAAGGCGCTGGAGTCCTACATAACCCGGTCTCTTACTCCCCCAACCGGGATATCGGGAAACGGATTTCCTAGTTTTAAAAAAAGAAGTATTCAAAAGTATTATTTTTTATTGTTTCAGTGTTGAATAGCGGCGGTCTCCGTCGCTGGTCGTAACATGCGTTCGTTGTTGGCTTACTACGCGGACGCGGTGATGTCGGTGGCGGCGAAGGGCGCGGGCTGCGCGCTCAGCTGCAGCGGCCGGGGCGACTGCATGAACGGCACCTGTCTCTGCGAGATCCGGTACTCGGGCGAGGGATGCGCCGGACCTAACCTGCCGTATCATGCGTGTGAGTATTACTATCTTCGGATCCGTCTTTCATCAGCTTAACACGTTGACTGGTGTGTAGGTCACCGGTGTCCTACGCGGCGCACTGAAGTAATTGTGTCGACTGTTACTAAGCGCCTGGATTGACTAACTTTGCCTTCTTTTGTTCGTTAATGTATGTTTTAGTCTTTTAGGCCTCTTAGAAATAGCTTCATTCTCGGTGTTTTCGGATTCGTCTTTTCCAGAGTCTACTAGATATTCCGGTGTCTTAGTAATAGAAATCGACGTAATTACTTACGTAGGGCACCGGTGACCTACACAGCAGACAAAGGGTTAAGTGAACTATACTTGAGACCTTAGAACTTATATCTCAAGGTGGGTGGCGCATTTACGTTGTAGATGTCTATGGGCTCCGGTAACCACGTAACACCAGGTGGGCTGTGAGCTCGTCCACCCATCTAAGCAATAAAAATAAAATAAAAAGACCTCTTGTGAGTCCGCACGGGTAGATACCACCACCCCGCCTCTTTCTGTCGTGAAGCAGTAGGTAATGCGTTTCGGTTTGAATGGTGGGGCAGCCGTTATAACTATACTGAGGCCTTAGAACTTATATCTCAAGGTGGGTGGCGCATTTACGTTGTAGATGTCTACGGGCTCCGGTAACCACTTAACACCAGGTGGGCTGTGAGCTCGTCCACCCATCTAAGCAATAAAAAAAAACACGTTGCAAGACAAAAACAGTTACTTTTTTTTTGCAGGTATCGGCGGAGTGTTCCTCGTCGTCGCCTTCGTGTGCGCCGTCCAACTGATGATATGCGTTGTCACGGAGTACAGGAAACTAAAGGCTCCGACTTTCCTGAGGGCTTGCAAGGTCACGACCCAGAAGATGCTGTATCTGGTCGCGTTCCTCGCCTCCCTGATACGGGGAGCTTACTTCGTTTCGCCGGTAAGCTTAAAAGTCAGACGTCTTCATTATTAACTGGTCAGCGTGAAAATACATTTCGATGTGTGAGCGTAGGATTAATCGTACAATAATTGGGGTCTTCGAATCCTGGAGATATGTCGCAATTTTTTTAATGACACATGTGGTACCTTTAGAATTGTAGAGACCCATTTCGAAATTCTTGAATTTCAACTTTAATTGAATATGCAATTTCGAAAGGGGCACATCTCTGAAAATGTAAAATGTTCAGGAAATGAAAAAAAAAATGATTATTTTCTAAAGCAGTGTAAAATTTTAAATATTAACTTTTGAGATATATTTTAGTGTTAATTAGCATTTGAAAATTACTGGAATTATTATAAAATTGAAATTGTAGGCAAAAATTGTAGGTAAGCCTCAAAACAACATGTATATGAAAAAACGTATTTGACAAAATATGCGGCATGTGCCCTTTTCGAAATTGCATATTCAATAAAAAAAATGGACCTAGAGCGACCCTTTTCAGGGACTCTTAGTAATCAAATCAAATGACCAAAGGTAGCTTATAAAGGGATAAACTTATCCATCGGTCTCTTTCACTCAGTCCCCTTCCTCTACCTCTTTTCGGTTTGAGAACTTTAATTATTGTATTCCAAAAAACACATTTTTTGGGGTGCGTCTTTATAATTCTAAAGGTGCGAAGTCAGCTCACTGAGTTTCATTCCGGATCTTCTCAGTGGGACACTGAGAAGCACTGTTCTCGCTAAGGCTAGTGTTAGCAAATTATCTCAGGTTCAGCCCGTGAGCTCACTTACCCGTCTGCGTGTAGCTGGAATAGCCTCTTAGGCTACCAGAGGATTGGTAGGGAAAAAAGTAGTTTCAGGACGTAACTGTCTCGCAACGAAATATCTGAATGGTACTGTATACCCTATACAAGTGACTCATCATATGTGAAATATATATAACCATTTCTTTGCAGTCTGCTTTTCAAGAGGGATGGGCGACCAGTCTTCTATCGGCTTATTATCCCCTGTTGATGTCTGGATCGTCGCTGATCGTGTGCTTTTGGGCCGAGGTGAGTGAATATAAACTTTAGCGCCATCTAGCGTCAAATATAGGAACATTGTGCAGTTACAGATACAACTTTGAGTAGATTAGTTTTAAGTTGACACCGAACGATGGTAGATGGCGCTTTCACAAACGGTTCGCACGTTGAGATTTATCCGCGAGATGGCGCTACTGTGAATTGAGCTTTAAAAAGAAAATCAATAAATTGAATCATTTTTCTCCAGTTAGAGCCCCGTGAGCTTACTTGCTCGGTTACGCTGGCATAGCCCCCTAAAGCCTACCAGCATAGGTAGGCAAAAATATGAAAAATTTAGATGTAGAATATGCAGAGTATAGGTCTCAAGGTAAAAAAACAAATTTGACTTCGTGTATGATGTCTCTGAGTTTCAATACGACTTAAACGTGTTAACGGTTATAGGGAAATACACATGGAGTATTAATTAATACATTGAAGAATTTTATCCTAGTTTCCTCGCCTCCTTGCATCGATGATCTTCAGTCCTGAGGAACATGACCTCCCTTAATGACTTTCTCCTGGGCTTCGTGGGTAGCATCGTGGACTGGGTTTTGGGAGTAGATGATGCATAGATGCATAGATGGTCCGATCAGTGCATTCGACTTATGCCCCTGGGAGCCTTCTTACGAATACATTGCAGCTTTTCTAAATTCTCACCTCTCATGTTAGCAACGTGTGGCATTAGTTATATATAAGTATGTATATACACAAAAAAAGCCGTCAAGCTTGTGAATATATTTTTTTTTAGTTAAATAGGTTTTAACGGCCGTCTGGTGTAGTGGTAAGTGACATGGTCACTACACAAGGGGGTCGCGGGTTCGAATCCCGCCAAGGAAAGATATTTGTATGATAAATATAAATGTCTTTTCCAGGGTTATGGATGTATATTAAATATATGTATGTGTATAATAAAAATCTTACATTTATTTCCGTTATCTGGTACCTGTAACACAAGTTCTTTACGAACTTATCACGGGACCAGTTAACGTGGCGTGATTGTTAGTAAATATTTATTTATTTAATAACTATTTATTTTTAAAAAAAGATACAAACAACAAATTATTTTAACTCACGTGTCATCGGTCTTGACCGTGTAGTGTATTTAAAATAATTGTAAACCACAGAAATGTAAGGACGCGTGCAGACTTTGATGTTCCTAGTTATTTCATCGATGAAAGTCGTGGCCTAAAGGATAAGACGCCCGGTGCGTTCGTATCGAGCGATGCGACCGTGCCGGTGTTCGAATCCCGGAGGCGGGTACCGATTTTTGTAATTAAATGATGTCCAGTGAAACTCATGTCCAGATTGAGTCCAACGTGTGATCAAAATCAAACTTTAAAATAAAATTTTACTATTAATCACTACTACTATTATACCTACTAAGATGATAAACGCGAAAGTTTGTAAGAATGTATTATGTATGGATGTTTGTTTGTTTGATACTCTGTCACGCAAAAGCTACTAGATGGATTTTAATGAAACTTTACAATAATGTGGCTGAAACTTCAGAATAACATATAGGCTATTATTTATAAAGATACTAGCTTTTGCCCGCGACTTCGTCCGCGTGGAATAGTTACTTTGGCATAACGCTAAATTTTATCCCCCCCCACTTCATTTACGTACTTTATTAGTGCTTCACTTGTATTGTGACCTTACGGTGATGTAGCCTATAGCCTTCCTCAATAAATGGGCTATCTAAGACTGAAATAATTTTTCAAATCGGACCAGTAGTTCCTGAGATTAACGCGTTCAAACAAACAAACTCTTCAGTTTTATAATATTAGTATAGATAGTGTGAATTACTCAAGTTAAAACGATAAGTATCAAGTTAAGTAGGAACAAATCTGCCATCTCATTTTCATAATCAATAAAAGATTACAGTTCCCGAAGCGATGCGAGATCGAGTCCCTAGTTACTATTATATATAATTGAGACTTCGCTCTCATATACCAAGATGGGTGGCGTAATATGTGTCGTAGCTGTCTATGGGCTCCGGTAACCACTTAAAACCAGGTGACACATTAGCTCGCAGCAATAAATAAGGCATAAGAGCATATTTTTTTTTTTTTTTTTTATTTTTTTTTTATTGCTTAGATGTGTGGACGAGCTCACAGCTCACCTGGTGTTAAGTGGTTACTGGAGCCCATAGACATCTACAACGTAAATGCGCCACACACCTTGAGATATAAGTTCTAAGGTCTCAGTATAGTTACACATAATCCTATCACCATTCCTCTATCCACTGAGTCCGTCGCCGGATCTTCTCTGTGGGTCGAAATTTCGATCGCGTGGTAGATTCCATACCACTGCTCTAGCTAGGGTAGACGTTAGCAAGTTCTATCAGGCTGAGTCCAGTTCCTTCATCTACCAGTCAGGTTTAAGAAGGAATAGCCCCTCGTGGCTACTAGGGATTCTCAAGTACACAATGATGTCCAAGATATTCGGCTATTCCTATATAGTTATCGTACTGTAGGAATACCGTGTTATAAAAGGGTTTTAGAGAATTTTTCTTTTCGTTACCGTGTTATATAGAGGATTACCTGTAGTTAAAGTACTCGATAGGGCTATATAAATAAACATTTGTTTCTGTGTATGTTTAGTACAATTGTCGGCGCTTCGAGCAAGGTTACTGTCATAGTACCAGCAATCTACGATAGTTGGCTTTTGAGTGGTTTTAAAAAGTCCTTTTTTTTTCATATGATTAGAGATGGACACAGCGAAGTGTGACCGAGTTCTATTCGTAAAGTAAAAATATAAAACAATTAACTCGGCGACCTTAAAACTCACGTGTCCCGTGTCTTCACGCTCAATGATGACGCGTAATAAGGAGTTGAGATACGATCTGCGTTTTACTGACATGTATTTGATTACTATACTATATCCAGGATTTTTGTATGGATCAGCTTGTTGGACCACTAAAGTGGCGGATGAAAGGTGATTGCATGAATCAAAGATACGAATGTTGCGATGGATGTGTGGAGTAACGAGAATGGATAGAATACGGAATGAATATGTTAGAGGAAGTCTGAAAGCGGCACCCGTGACAGAGAAGTTGAGAAGTGCGCGTTTGGGGTGGTATGGACATGTGATGAGATGAAATGAAAATGAGGTTGGTAAGAGAGTGCTAACTGTGAATGTGTAAGGATATTGAGGAAGAGGTAAACCTAAGAAGAAATGGATGGATTGCGTGAAAGACGATATGGGTAAGAGGGGAGTGAGCGAAGAAATGGTATATGATAGAAGAGTATGGAAGGAGAAAACATGTTGCGCCGACCCTAGGTAACTGGGAGAAGGGAGAGAAGGGCAGGATAATGATGATGATGATGACTATATCCAGGATTCTCCAATATTTTGGACACGTATCGCGACGGCCAGCAGGGTTTATCGAGAAACTTGTTGTTCAGGGTAGGGTCAATGGTAAAATATGTCGTGGATGAAACCCTATGCGCTGGACTGATCTGATGAGAAACTTTACCAAAACCCCACTTAACCTCTAAACCACTAAGCCTCAGTTCGCCAACTGTGGAGAACAGCTGTCAAGGCTTTAATTAACAAGGATTACACATGACTACGACTGCTCTGTCAAGAGTAACCGACTGTGATGATGATGATGATTTGTATACTTGATTTACGTGTACTTGGGAATTTGAGTCCCTAACAAGTCTGGTGGTGAATGGTTAGGTCAATGGAGCGGATATCGTAACGTGAATGCCGTCCACATTGAGAAATGAGACCGAAGACTTTTCTACGACCGCCCTAGAAACCCTTTGAACTGGGATGTTTTTTATGGTCTTTACAGGCCTAGAGTGAGTGGTAACTGTTGCTGATTAGCGTCAGCAATGCCAAGACGCTCCCCGCCACTGACCAATCTACGCAAGCCTCGTTTGAAGGAGAGCATGTTGTGGGGGGTTGGTGAAAAAGATCTCTGGAAACGCACTGAATGCAGCGGGTCCAGATAAGTTGGATGGATTTGCGCCAGTGGCGGGAGGTGTGATGGTAAAAAGAAGATAGAGGGAGCATCTCGAATATTTCTTCTGAGCCCGCAGTACTCTAATATCATTGTCACTCATTCATAGTGCAACTCTTTGATGTAAGTCCCAAAGATTTTCCAATTCCATTGTGTTTTATATGAATGAGTCAAATGTTGATGCAAAAAAAGAATTCGAGAAACATACATCGAAGCATTGTACATTAAAAATATGTCTTTGTTTTTCGAACGGATATTGGATGGGACTATGCAAGAATGATTCAATCAAATTAAATAAGTTAATTCATTATGTTAATAATATCTTTATATAAGACTTAGGGATTTGTCGGAGAATGGTTAGCAGCGGTCTCTGAGTATTGTTCTAACGTACTACGATGGCCAACTGGTATTTACTGATGTATTCTAAGCCCGCACGGATAGGTATCACCGTCCCGACTAGTTCTGGGGCGCAGTAACCTTCCAGTTCGGGTTGAAGGGAGGAATATCTGTTACACTATACAATCGATACTTCGAGGGGACCAGGAAGCTCTGAAAACTGTATAATAAGAAAACAGTAAAGCAGAGTGACGCAGTGGAAGCGTGATGGGCCCGTAACCAATTAATATTCGGATTTCTTAGTGAATCTTCTTCTTTCTCTCCACCTTATCCCACTAGGTGGGGTCGGCACAGCTAATTTTTCTCTTCCATTCTCTTCTGTCAGCCTTCATCTCAACACTCACTCCACTCTCTCTCATATCGTCATTCATACACTCCATCCATGTCTTCTTTGGTCGACCTCTTCCTCCTTTACATTGCACTACCATTTCCATACATCTCCTAGTCACATGCATCTTCTCTCCACGCATCACATGTCCATACCACGCCAACCGTCCGCTCTTTAATTTGTTGATTATCGGGGCTACTTTTACACTTCCTCTGATATACTCATTCTTTGTCTTGTCCATTCGTGTCACTCCACACATCCATCTCAACATTCGCATCTCTGCCGCATGCACTCCTT